CTTAACTGTTTAACTTATGGACAAATCACATTGTGTAGTTGTTTAATGAGCTATATTAATTCTTGATACTAATTTTTGTTTTCTGCCTCTCAACCAACTTTGGCCTTTGCTTGCAAGGTGTGCAGTTTATTAGTGATGGGACAGAGGATTAGTTTGGTGTAGCGCTGGATATTCCTCTAATTCTCTGCTTTGGAGAAAAGGGAAGGAAAGGAATTTTCATTACCAAATTCAGAAACATCTCTATGGACAATGAGAAAGGGTCGGGTTCTGAACTGAAGGGTTTTATTTGCCCTTTGAAAGCTCCAATAACTACACAGACTAGGCCTTTAAATTAGATACTGTGACAGCCTTTGGTCTCTAATAACAGCAAGCTTACCAACATGGTTCTTGGTTTTGAACAGAAACAATCATTTCACCAATCAGTAACAATCTTAAAAGAGCAAATCCTGTGTTTTCCACAAAAGCTTGTGAGTGGTTTCTCCTTGCTCTCTCAAACCATCAGTTTTTAGTGATGAAAACCAAAAGAAAGCTATTCAATGCAGAGTAAAAAAATCCAGAGTAGCACAGGGGTGCTCCTGGAGAGCACTTGGGGTATGTCATGTACTTGAACATGTAAACTACAACTGTACTATATAAAATATATCCAGCGCAGCCTGTGAGACCTCCTGACAGCATCTGAATTTCTAGAACACGCAGATACATATATTTATGTGTAAGTGGCATAACTGTGCATCTGTTATGTTTCTTTTATATCACCATACATGTTTTAACAGGAATGTAGGCCAACCTACGTGTCAGCAAAATTTCATCAGAGCTGGTGCTTTGCACTGAATTTTTTTTTACCAAACACAGATTCAGAATGTTTCTTCAAATTTGGATTGAAAAATGAATGATGATTGTCTTCTGGTGAGATGCAGCTAAGATACTTGTTCTGTAGATCAGTATTTCTATAAATTTATAATGCTCATTTTATTCTGCCAACCTTTGTGTCCTGTACATCTTGGTTATCATATATTCATTTGTGGCTCGTTCATTTCCTTTAGATTGTATTTAAAAAAGAATAGAGTTGCTTTTCTTTTCCCCCCCCTACAGATGGTATAAATGTCAGTTTTGGTTTCAGTGGATCATGTTACTCTGACCATTTTTATTTATTCATGCAACCTAAGAAAGAACCAGTATTTTTTGGGTCTTTTTTTCCAGACTGATTTATGAGATGTGCCTACCATACCGATTTCTATCCTGGCAGAGGTTGTATAACTGTAAAGTGTTGCCAATTAAAGTCATAACATGCCAAATTGAGTCTCGTTAAAGACTTTCCACAGCAGTTTGTTTACAAAACTCCAAAGGTATTGCTTCTTTAGAAATTATGTATTTATTTATTTAAATATTCTAAGTACTGCAATTTCAGGCAAGTATTAATACCACTTATGAAAATGAATTGCAACATAACAAATTTTATGAAGGAAGGACCAAAAATGTTTCTAGAATAGAAGTTAAGAAAAAAAATATATATTTGATGTAGCCTCTGGTTATATTAATTAATACAAGAATAAGTGTTAAAACTTGGTTCTTAAAATATTTTACGCAGGAATGCGTTGTTCTTTAACAAACACAACATGTAAATATTAAATTTTTATCACAGCCTACACAGAATATTTTAAAAGTGCAATATAATTTGACTGCTCTGGAGCTAGGACAGAGATAAAAGCAATTTATATATGATTATAGGGTTTGTTTTTTTTCTACTGCACAATACCAGGATTCTAAAATGCTTTGGACCGGGGTTACTGTAGTTGAACTCAGAGTGCCTTTTGAAGTTACCATCATGTCTCTGACCAGTAGAGCAACAAACTCTACTGTAAGACACAATACATTTCAATGTACTTCAGTGTCTGAATTTCTTTTAATGTAACTCTTTGCTTTTCAGAGGGTTACAGTGGAACTTTATCATGCATTAACTTTAATGGGAGTTTTTGTGCTTATACTCCATCCAGTACCTGAAAACTTTAAGGATTATTGCAACCAACTACTGAGCTAAGTGGCTACTGAAATGGTGTAAAAATATTTCCTTTTGAATACTTATGTTTAAATTGGATATTAAATATTAAATACTGGAACTGTCATATTTTTGTCATGCCTGTTATTTGTAGCTATTTACAAAGAGAGTCTACATAAAATTGCTTTGATGTCAGCCTTTGAAATGTGTCATAAGATTTATCTGTTTGAATTATTGTGTGGCAGAACTTTTTTTCCCTTTTAAACTCTCATTAGAAATCATGGTAATGTTTCTTGACAGTAAGTTACACTATTCTTACTAGTCTAGTACTGGTTTTAAAAAACAAAGAAACAAGAATTCTTATATTATGAGAAACTGTTATTTCAAGGGAAGTTGTTTCCATCCAATGTCCAATGAAAACATTGATCTGTAATGGAACAAAGTTTTGGAAAGGATTTCCCTTATGTTTCATTGTCCCAGGATTTCTTATTAATATAAAATAGTTAAACATTCCTGATCTGAACTTTGCCAGCATTGTTGAAGTGAGCCGTGACATTTCCTGTTGTCTCGGTTCAGTGTCAGTCTGTCTCTCTGCACTGCCCCTTTGTGTTATGGGGTTTTTTAGCTCAAATGCATCCATGCTGTGGCCGAGGTACTTCCTGATGTTCTGCTCTTGCCCTGACCAAACCAGTCAGATGGGGGCCTGATGGGTCCTGGGAGATGCCAGAAGGAGCTCAGACCCACAGAAGGCAACAGAGGCGTCAGTTCTGTACTCCTAAGACATTTAGAATGCTGCCAGTCTGTGCATGCTGCATGTTCAGAGCAAAGGGAATCAACCAATACATTTTGTAAAATCTATTGCTTCTACAAAGGTAAGTGCCTGATTTTTCAGAATAACTGCTTCCATCGAGAGCAGTGTGTATTTCCAGGTAGGTTATGATGTCCTGGAGGGCACTGCTGCTATTCAAATGTTCTTTGACAGGCAAGAGAATGAGCTGAACTAAACAATTTTAAGTTTAAAAGGGGCAAGTTTGACTTGGTATTCTGTCTGGGCTGGAATAACCCCGTGCAGTAGCACTAGCTGAAAAAAATATTTTTTCAGGAAAGGGGTGGGCATCCTGTTCCAAAGCAGGCTGACCAAAAGCCAGAAGTGTGCCACTGTGGCAGAGAGGACCTACTGCATCTGGGGCTGCACGAGTAAAATGAAGGCACCAGGTTGGGGTACTCAGTTTTCCCTCATCTTCAGTAATTATAAGACCACATCTGGAGTTCTGTGCCCTGCTTTGGACACCCCCGTAGAAGAAAGACTGACACACTGAAGTGAGTCCAGTGGATGCCACCATGATCAGAGGGCTGGAGCACAAAGGGTGGGAAGAGAGAGAACAGAGTTTGCATGACTTCAAGAAGAGAAAGCTGAGGGAGACCTTTCTACTGTCCTGAACTATCTAATGGGAGGGTACACTGGAGATGGAGCTAGACCCATCTCAGAGGGCACAGGGACAACAAAGGGGCAAGAGACAATTTCTGTAGAAAATTAAGATTGGGAAAAAATTGTCACCATACAAGTGTCAGAAATAGGAACAGTCGCTGAGAAAGGTTATAGAATATTCATCCTTGAGGATACTAAAAACTCAACTGGATGTGGCCCTGAGCCACCTGGTTTTAATATGTTCCACTTCGAGCAGGGCTTTGCTCTAAATGACCTCCAGAAGTGTCTTCCACCCAACATGATCTGATGATCTCTGACCCTTGTCCTACAAGTGCACGTGCCTGACAGTTGTCTTATGGCTGTATGACAGATTACATGAACTGCATATGACACTTCTACTACTCCATCAGGGAACTTCTGCAAGTATGTAAATACTTGCAGATCAGAGCTTTGCTATGCGTTTAAGGTATTGGGTTGAGATGTTTGGTGAAACAATTCTTGCTGTAGTAAGAATTTGTCAAAAATCAAACAAGCCACTTGGTTTGCTGCAACACCTCTTCTTCCAGCGAGGCTGTTTTTCAGCTGGATACCCAGTTTTGTCTGTAAATAACTAGTAATGGAGTAGAAGTACATATTCTTTTTTTATAATTAATCTGGACTCTGGCTTCAGCAACCTTCCATCTATATTGCCTTTTAGATCAGGAACAAGCACTTCAAATCGACAACATAATGGCTTGTACTTGAAGAGGAGATTAGTGCCTTGATGTGAAAAAAGGAGCTGGGGTGGAAAATCCAATTGTAAATGCTCGTAATACCACTGTGCTCTCACATCCCATCTGTCTGCTGAAGGTGTTGGTGACAGTCTGTAATCCACATTGTTTAAATTGTAGAAGCCACCAAAGACTTCACAATACAGTACTCTGCCAGGAAAAAGCTGTCTTTGGTGAAATAAATACAGCCCATGGGGAAAGACAGTCACAGAGGCAGGAAACTCAAAGTAATCAAGCCGGAAAAGGAGGATTTCAATTGCATTTCCCAAAGCACAGCAGCCCTGGACCTAAGCAAACTTTTTTACTCTTTGGATTTGTCTCTAGCTGTAAACTTGGTGTCTTCATAGCTTCCCTCATCAAATTGCATTGTGTGTGTGCCTTTAGTCTTTCCTCTTATCATCTGGGTTGCCATCCTCTGTCACAGCCCCAGAGCCCCTGCTCCAGGGTGCAGCATGGCAGTAACACCCTGGACAGTCCCATCTCCTCGCTGTCCCTGGGTCAGTTTGGAGCTGTTGTCCCTCAGGGCTGGGCTGAGTGCTGGTCACCAGCCATGTGCTTGAGCCCGAGTCTCCTGCGGTAGGATGTGGCTGACGGCTGGTGTTCAAAAAGATTGGAGACAAGTTCTGTGCTGATAAGGTGATTTCTGTGCTAAAGCAATATCCAGTGATCCTGTGACTGACCCAGGAGGCCCAGCAGCGATCCCTTCCCCTCACGCCCCGGGCTCCCGCCGATCCCTGTGGGAGCGCAGGGCCGCGCTGCCCGGCGGGGCCGGCAGGGGGCGGTGGCGCTGCGGGGCCCGGCCCCGCCGCCTCCGGTCACCTGAGCGGCCCTTCCGCGGCGGCGGGGCCGGGCCGAGCCGCGGCCATGCGGATCGAGAAGTGCTACTTCTGCTCGGGCCCGATCTACCCGGGCCACGGCGTCATGTTCGTGCGCAACGACTGCAAGGTACGGCGGGGCCGGGCCGGGCCCGCTCCCCCCGGCAGCCGGGGCGCTCGCGGGTTCGCCGTCCCCCCGCGCGGGCGGTCACGGCCGGGGCCCAGGGCCCTCTCTCTGGGCCGCAGCCCCCGCACGGGCCGGGCCGCGTTCGTGAGGCGCTGCCGGGCCCGCACACACCGCCCGGGGGTGTCGGCGGGGCGGCAGCCCCGACCCGGAGCGGTGCGGCGCTTTGGCCGTCGGGAAGAGTGGGGGATGAATTATATTTGTTTTCGGTTCTCAGTAAGAAATCAGACGCCTCGCAGAGCCATATCCAATGCTCATCCTTTAATATTCCGATTTTAGGGAAGCGTAGGTTCAGGTGGGAGCAGGTCGCACAGCTCTGAGCAGCCGAAGTTGCAGAGGAGGGCTGATGGTCTGTGTTCCTCGTGGCGCTCTGCTAAAAGTGCTAAAAGTCGTAACTCAGGGATCCGATGTGACTCACCCGGTTGAGGCTGTCACAACAGGACGTGCACAGCGCTCTGGGCTTTGCGCTGCCGTGACAATTCCGGACATAAAACGTTGTGTGTAGTTTTCCAGCCTTTGCTGGAACTCGCCGTCGTTCCTGCGGGGCGTTGGAGACCCCGGTGTGGAGTGAAGCTTGGCAAATAGCTTCCTCCCTGTGCTCAGGAGTCAGAGCACATCCCGAGCGGGCTGCACTGTTCGCATGAGTCACAGCTCTGGGGAGCTCGGTGTGCACTGACACAGTTCCGTTCACTGAAAAGGGCCACGAGGTGTGTGTTTTAAAAAAAGATACCACAGTGGCAGGTTAGTTGTGAACAGATAATCTGCCAAAGAGACAAACCTGCCATTCTGTTTTGCTGAGTTGAGATGAAAAAACTTGGTAGAAGAGTGTTAAAAAAAAAAAAAGTTCTTTGAAGATGATCACCTTAACTAGAGGTTTCTTATTTTCTGTTAATTTTCTTCAGGAGTGACTATTAGGTGGGAAGGAGAATATGGTTGTAGAAAAAGAGGGTTTTCAAAAATTCACAAGTAGCAAATGTAGTTTTGAGTATTCTTAAGTAATTCTGTAGAATGTGTGGAAAAATAGGGAAAAAGGCCAGTTAAAACGTTTTAACATATTCTCTAACAGCTTTCAATGAATTCACTCCGGGGTTTAACTAATGTGCTTAGGACTCCTTTGAGGCTTAAAGCTCTATTGCAAAACATAGACTTTTTTTTTGTGTGTGTGTGTATTGCATTCAGTATGAGAGGTGTGAGGATTTTTGTTGTCAGAATGGTGTTGTATCTAAAAAGTGCTGGCAGCTATATAAAATTGTTTATTCATGTTACAGGTTTGGTTTTATGGTTGTTTTTGGAGATGATAATTCTCACAACTCAGGCATATTTTATTTATAATCAGTTTAATTGTAAGTATTTGTACATATCCCTGGCAGCTGTGAAAATGACTTCATGATGAAAAAGCAATAATAGTGCTTGAAATTATTTTTGTTAATAGCAATATTTGCTTTAAGAATACTGATATTTGAAAGAGGAATATAATTTCCCATGAGTAGTATTGTTAGAGCAAGGTCACTGTTTGTTACCATGCTTGCAATGGGGCTCTAATAACATGATTTAACTAAGATTTTTTTTTTCACCTCCCTTCTCTAAGATATTTAGATTCTGCAAATCAAAATGCCACAGAAACTTTAAAAGGAAGCGAAATCCCAGAAAGATGAGATGGACCAAAGCATTCCGGAAAGCAGCTGGCAAAGAATTGACAGTGGTAAGAATTGGTTCACACTTTACATTGACACCATGAAATGGCAGAAATGTAGCCTCTTCCCAGTGCAAATAGGCTAGATTAGGTGGCTTAATACATTACCATTTAATTAGATGAGCTGGAGGGATGGAAGAAGGGGAGAAAAGAGGGATTGTGGATGAGAAGTGAGAGTTTGAGAGTGAGTTTGAGTGTAGCTTCATTTAGCTCGAGTGTAACTTGGATCTTCCCATTTCAGCTTCATGGTGGAGGCCAGTATATCAGGTGTCCGTGTTGGTGGTCCTAGTAACTCCTAGTCCAGGGCATATTTTTCCATCTACAAATCTTCTACTCTCTCTACATATCCATTTGATAGTTTTATTTCTGCACAGTCAGATAATCTGGGTCAACAGGTACCCCAGGAAGTCTGTCTGTGTAGGCCCCTAAAACAGTTACCTTTTGAAGTGTCTTTAAAAGCATACAATGTATAGGAAAAGCCTTTGATAGGTAGGACTGTTTCAAAAACAGCATGAGATCTTAAAGCAGTTCCAAACAGAGTTGCTTTGGTGGTAAAAATATTAAACAGTCACATTTGATGGGACAGTCCTTAAATAATTTAAGAATTACTGTGATTTAATTACCTGGTTTTTTACAGAATATTAACAATTTAGTAAGCATTTTGACAGTGATTTACTGCCTTCTGTGGATCTTCCAAGGGGAAGAATGTGGTTTTATTTTTTAATGTGACTCTGAAAAGCCAAGATTAATTAGCATCTTTGGTAACTGTGTTTCTTGCTTTCAAGTTGTTTTTGGCTAACTCGAATTACCTTTTTGACAAGAACTTGATTTAAAATTTCTTTATATATGTCTAAATAAGTGACAATATGCTCCAATTTTGACATGCATAATGTATTCTAAGAATAAAACCAATATATGAACTTAGTGCTGTCTTCTGGTTTGGTGGGTGTCCGTTTTTCATGAGCCAGCTTTGTGTAGTGTCTAAATAGGCTTGTGATGATGGGAAATAACATAGTTTCTAAGAAGGTGACAGGTAACTCTGCTTTACCTCAACAAAAAGCAACCTTTGGGCAGGGAAAAGTCCTCAGATGAAACTGTTCTAAAGCTAAGTATGCCTAACAAAATAATTAGGAAACTGTTTTTCAGTCTTCAACTCACGGTGGGGGCATTAGGGGTTGGCAGCTGCTCCAAACACCACAATGTCACCAATTGACATTTTTCAAATTATTTTATATTGTTTCAATATTCTTCAGATGAGATAGTGGTTGGGTTTTTTTTTTAACCTTTTCAAAATTGCAAGCTGTTGAGTAGAACTTATTTGACCTGCATTAAAATATTTCAACTCTGCAGGTTTTCAATTTCGCCTTCCACCTGTCTAATCTCTTCTGTATTTCCTGCTCCACATTGGTTTTCTCTGTCTCCTTGTCTTGCTAAATGGAAAATAGCTGAGGGAGATGTTTCAGTAAATAGTTCTCTTCAGACAAATCACTGTGGCTCCTGACACTTTGAGGTCATACTCTTCACTTGATTTCCTTCTAGTGTAGTTATCTCTGAAGGTTGTTAAAGTCTGGGAACTGAGGTTCTGAAAGGGGGGGCAAAAATCACATAAAATATGAAGTAATGAGTGCTATAGTAAGAATGTGTTGATCTAAATATGTTTCTATATATGATCTATATTTACTTTTTCTTAATACAGGATAATTCATTTGAGTTTGAAAAACGTAGAAATGAACCAGTGAAATACCAGAGAGAGTTGTGGAACAAGACTGGTGAGTCGTTCTAGAGAAAAACAAAAGAATAATTTTTTACTCTACATGAATGTATTTTCAGGAGACTTCTTAGTGTATTCATACTTTGTTGTGATTGTGTTTGAAAATTTGTGTGTGACCAAATTCTTACATGTGGAGGAGGTTTGAGTTGTGAACAGGTGTGGAGTTTCACTTGACGTTTATTCTTTTCAGAAGCTGGTTAGAAAATGAGGACCAGCATTCCTTTATTTTGAATTGTTATCTTCAAAACCCCTTAGCGGTTCTCCAGCTTTTAAGAGGCTCCCAGTGTAAGCCTTTTACACTGTTGCAGTTGTTTCTTTGTTCCTGCTCATTCCACTTCAGTTTGTTTCACAGAATCAATTGCTATGAAAGGGAAGAACTGCTTATTTTGTGAATGAATGCCACAAAGGAGAAAGTGATAACTTGCTTCTGATTTCAAGTAGTGAAGAAGCTCAGTTGCAACTGAATCTTCCCTAGTGATGGTTAACTGTGGGAATTATGTGTAAGCAGAAAAGTGGAAGCATAAATAAGTTGTAAAATACAGTTCATCATAGTTGTTACACAGAATATTCCCTTATCTTGCTCTTTGAAGAAGGAATAACTTTCTCTATATAGTGTAAGACTTTCCTCTGGTACGTAGATGTTACGGAATGCTGGTAGAGTTGCTCTGTAAAAATAGCATGTATTTTCATCTGCAGGTTTATATGCAGATTTAAAACAATTTCTGATTTATTTCAGTTGATGCAATGAAGAGAGTGGAGGAAATAAAGCAGAAACGCCAAGCCAGGTTTATTATGAACAGGTGAGAAGTATTTGTATGGTGGGAGCTCTCACATGTCTGTATTAGGCACCCTTTCCACAAACAGGATGATCAAATGTTTTAAGTGGTTATTTGGTTTTTATATGCAGAGTCATCCAAGTGATGGGGTAAAATAGTTTGTGTGGGCTCTACTCTGCATTATTGGCTGTCAAAGCAAATGCAACTTTTAGACATTCAATGATAATAGTTAAATTTCCTTGTATATAATACAGAGTCTTACATTTAAACAAATTTCTGATTAGAGTTGATACAGTGCTGGTTTTTTTTTCCTAGTTTTGTATCCAGTATTTGCTTGAATAGGGTTTCAGATACTTTTAACCTGTATTTCCTCATAGTAGTAGTTATTCACAGCCTATGCCTTCCTTTAGCAAAAGATGTCATGCATTAAAATGAAAGCATACATCTTTTAAGTTAATTGAATCTAATTTTCCCCTTCCCCAGATTAAAGAAGAGCAAAGAGTTGCAGAAGGCAGAAGACATCAAAGAGGTCAAACAGAATATTCACCTTCTTCGTGCTCCCCATGCAGGTAAGAACTTGCTTTACCTGGTTTCCATACACAGTTTTAGGATAAATACCTGATTGTACAGATGAGTAATCCCGTGCATTTGGCTTACAATTAATTTGTTTACTGGTTATGGAGAATAGCTCTTGCCACTAACTGAAAACAGTAGCTTTGTTCTGAATCAAATATTCCTTTTTATTTATCTAGTACTGCATTCACCCTTTTCCTTGAGTATTTTAATCTGCACCCAATACCTGGTGCTCTGTGAACTGTGTGTTTGTTAACCAATGCATTTATCCAAGGCTTCCCTTTGAACTGATTCTGTGGACTCAACAGACTCTACCTCTGACTGATATAAAATAGAGAGGTTCAACTTTGCTGTTTGAATATGTCAGTGAATAGAGTAGGGTTTCTTTGTAGTTCACTGTGTGAACTTAATGAAACTTACATGAAAATGCTGCCTCTTCAGTAAATTAAGATTTTAAAAAAATTATTTACTTTTAAATTAACAGTTAACAGAGTAATGGAGAAAAGTTAAAAGTATTTCCATTAGTTCTTGTTTTATAAAAATTACCTGTGGTTTTGTTTCTCCATTATTAGATGTTAACTAGAAGTCTGTTCTATGTTTTTCTTCCAGTTTGCAGTATCTGTAGTCTAAGGTTGCATATATATATATATATATAAGACAAGATCTTGTCAGGATACATTTAAACTTTGTTTTAATCTGTCCCATTTTTTTGAGGAAAGAAAAAAGATCTGACTAAAAGACTAAACTCCAGTGTTTATTTCTTTGCCTTTGCTTATGTGAAATGAATGGTGCACAATAGTATGTAGTACATCTGTTGGTCAAACACCAGCTGCCTTTTTAGTATTCTGCAATTCTAACTGGGCAGGGAGCAGAATCAAATGTAAATCTTGAGTTTTTATTTTCCTTTCTTTTCCTTCTGTTGGTATTATTGAGAGTTAACACTCTTGCATTCAGAAGGACTTAAATCTTTATGTAAAAACTAATGGGAGAAGTCCATTGATCTGTTAGCAGTAATGCATTTTTATAGTGCTTTGCAGGGTTCTGCCAGGCATTGTCAGCTGTATCAGTTTGTCATGCTAGATGAAAACACGTTTGACTGCTTTTTAGATTTTGCTTATAAACAGCATCAGTTTTTCTGCTAAAACAATTCAGGAGTTTTAAATGGTGATAAAGGTTAGCAATACATACCTTTGAGCTTGATGGTTTTACTCCCAAATAACTCCTTAAGCAATATATTTAGACTGTTTTGCCAAGAACAAACACATATATTGTTCAGATAAAAACAGTGCTTTGGGTTTAGAGAAACATCTTTAATTTAATTTTTTTTCTTTGAAGGCAAACCAAAACAGCTGGAGGACAAAATGGTGCAGAAACTACAAGAGGAGGTGCCTATGGAAGAAGACTCTTAAAGTGCTTTCATTTTCTATTTATATCTGTTCAGCAGTTAACAGGTTCCTACTGCCTCACCTGACATCATTCAGAACTGTGCTTACAGTTGAAGAAAAAGACATTTTAATGAATAGTGGTCATTTACCATTTGGTTTATTTTTTGGTTTATAAAAAATAGTAAGTTGGATACTGGTTTGGGCAGTTCTTAAATTCGTGCAGTTTGAGAAAACCTTGTCAACAGGATGGAACTCAAGGCATTATTGTTTGAGATACTGTGTGCTCCTTGGAAAGTTACACTTTTTCCAGGTAAATTTTCCCTCATAATTCAAGGAATAAAATATGCTGGCCCTGAACTTTTTTTGCTTTGTCTGTTCTTTCATAGTGGTAAAAGCAGATAATGGTTACAAGGTGGGGCAGAATGTAGTATTTTTCATCAGTCAAGTGCAGTCCAGACTTACTTTCACTCTCACCCTTGGGAAAATTTTTCTGTTTGTTAAGAATACATATAGTGTTTGTTTTTTCTCCTTTTTAAGTCCTTCCCCAGGATTCCATTGCAGTTGACATCTGGCAAAGCTAACATTGATACAGGACCTAGGTTTGGAAAATGCTAATGGTGATATCTGGAGTTGGACCTGCCATCATCCCAAGGAAATTCAAATCTAATGTGTAATGAGGCTGACTGAGATGCTCAATAAATCACACTTTAGACTGTTTTTACCTGACACCCAGGATCATTTTGATAGAAAAAATGCTGTTAAATCGTAAATATTTTGCATATTGTGGTGGTATTTATTCAATGTGTCAACAGCAGTGAGATGAATAGTTGCTGTTTTAAACTGTCAGCAGTTTATCTGTAACAGTGTGATCAAAGAAAACTGTCAAAGGCATTTACAGCATTTGCTTTCTTGTCAGTGCTGGTTATCCTGAAAAATAATAATTTGTAGTTCCACTGCAAACTTGAGTATGTGCTACAGCAGGCACTGGAAAACCTCCTCGTACCTGCCACCCACGTGTGTTTTGTAGTTCAGAGAAGAGTCATATTTGAACATATGTAAGGGGGCTGTGGGGAGAAATAAACAGGCATTGTATTCAGTTTTTCTCTTGGTTTATGTATTATGTTTAGATATTTAGAAAACGTTGATGTATTTTAGTGAGAATTCTAGTAATAAAAATTAACTCCTTATTTTCATGAAATTAAAGTTCTGTCATTTGCTGTTAAGGTGATGGCTGATAACCGTTTTAGATGTACAATATTAGTACTTCCCCTGTAAACTGTAATATAAATAACATCTGAGAAGCATATGGTAAGTTGCCCAGAAAACATATGTCAGTGGGGTGAAATCATTAGGATGATGCAAATACAGTGTGTATGTGCTATATGTACACCAAGATGCTTGGGCACAGTGACGGGAGATCTTCACAGAATGTTAATTAGTATGGTTATGTGGGATTACACAAATTAACATTTCAGATCAAGAAATGTGAGTTTTTTTGCATGGCCTGTTTTACTATAGTATATGATGTCCATAATCCTTGAGGTGGCATACTTCATCTGAAAATCTTATTACATATAATTTTTCTTATTTACTGAGTTTAAATATAAGATGTTCAGTGAGTGCCAAGTTTCAATTTTCTCCAAAAAGAGTAACGTAAATCTGTGCAAAGCAGAGAAAGGTGATGAGCCCCATTGGATGTTATGTATCTGTGTTACAATCTTTTACTTCATATGAGTTTAACATTAAATAATTTATATTACATAATACCTGTAGTTGTTCTGTCCACCCATCTTTAAATGGACTGCAATAATTAACTGTTTTGTTGTGCTCTGTAGAAGTGTCTCTGTGGGATTGTTAACCCTTTCCTGTGAAGGTTTGTAAGTGAAGTAGTTACTGTTATTGTGCAGGAGCTGAGAAGAGCCATTTGGGGAGTACACTGCAGCTGTAAATCCTGAACATCCTGCCAGTTGTACGAGTTGCTTAATCCCTGTGCCTCATTACTGCCAGTGTAACAGTACAACTGCAAGCAAGGGCTTTGGAAGTTAATACTGAGTTGTCCCTCTGCAGATGTGCTCTTCCTCCCAGAAGCAGAGGCTTGTAGCCTGCTGTGTGTACCTTGTGAGGATGTAGGAGTTAGTTGAGTTCAAAAATCTGTCACGAGTAACATGTTTACAGCACCTGTTCAGAAGGTGCCCTTGTGATTTTTTTTTTTTTAATTTAATTTCATTGCTATGGTGTCCTGTTCTCTCTCACAGTGATTTCTGCCTCAACTGGAGCTGCTGAGACATCACATGGTGAAGGGGGAAGAGCTGCTGCTGAGGAACAACATGGGGCTGGTGATCCTCCCTCCTGCACATCTCTGCATAACCCACTGCATGCAGAGACCTTCATGAGGGCCAGTTGAGCTACAGAGGAGTGGTTTTTTCTTTCTTTTAGGAGGCTGGCTGCCCATCCACATTTCTAATAGAAACTCTTGTTATTCAAAGGCATTTTGGTGAAGATCTATTTTCCTTGCTTGCTTAAGATGAAAATTTTCAACTAAGCCAAAGCTGACAGAAAATTTCTTTAAATTTTGGATTTTGTTTACAAGACTTTGAGAGAAAATATCCAACTGGGCAGTATTCTGGTGGTCGTGGAGAAATACTTCCAAATATCAGGAAGGGAACACACTCCTCTTTCCCCTTGAACAGCTCTTGGTCAGACAGTGGCTTGCTAGAGGAATTTGGTGATGGGCAAAGGGGGAGCCCTCATCTGCCTCCTGTGTGTGGGGCTGAGTTGTGCCCAGTCCTTTGGAGAGGCAGGACCTGACATCTGTTCCCCCAAACAGCAAGTTGGAGAGATGGTATTTTATGAGCAGCTTATTCATAAGAGATCCTGGGTTAGTGTCATGCATCCAAATCACTGATCCTGTCTGTGTTGAGATCTAGTAGGAGCAGAGTACAAGGTGCCTGTGAGTACAGACTTAAGAGAAAAATCATGATGATGATGTGGGAATATTTAATCAGAAAAAATATTTATTAATAGCTGGTACTACAGTCCGTCTTCCTTGGCATTTACCAGATCTAACAAACTTGCTATTTTGTGTTTGTACTCTGTGCCATCAGGAGCCTTTCTTCAAAACAAACCGTGATGGGCTTGATCAGAACAAATGTGATATTCAAAACCAATTTTTAAGAAATGCTTTTTAGTTTCAGCTGCTGTCATCTTTTCTTACAAAACAAAACCAGATGTATGGATTTTTTTCGGTTGGTTGGGTTTTTTCTTTACAGACTGTGCAAAAAGTGGAGATGTGATATTTTATTAGTGATTTAAAAAGTGATTTTTTTTCTCATATTTCCTCTTTTCCTTTTTTAACCCATCCCTTAGTGATTTCAAGTTAAATGCAGGCTTTGCTTTGAGGAAGAGGTGAACCTGGTGTTAACACATTTTGGCTACTCCCTCCATTCCAGCCTCACTTCCTTATGCCACAGGGCGCTGGGCAGGGGTTCCAGCTCTGCCCCAGTCCCCAGGGGTGCCATTTCGATCTACCATCGAGTTTCATTCTCTTTTTGGTGTGTGATTGTCACTGTGGCTGTTCCAAACCCGGCTGCTCGGGGGAGGTGTGCGGGGAGCCACTTGTGCCCCTCTTGGGAAGTCTGTGGCCCACTCTGGGTGACGCTGTCTGAGGAATAACATTTGCTGCAGGTTTTGTGGGATGCTGAGTTAGTGAGGAAGGGGAAGCACTGTCTGTTTCTGTGCTTTGGCCTGTGATTCAGATGGGGGTCTGTCCACAGAGGTGAAGGAACAGGTCCCAGCAAGCCCCTGGCAGGCAGGGTGTGTTCCTGAGGTAAAAGCCTCAAAGCTGCCCCTAAACAGCCTCTGCGCCTCATGGAGAGCTCGGCAGGCCTGCCCTTTTCCGTGTTTTCATACAGAGCAAGGCCCAGAGATACTTTTCTTTACCTTTTTGCCTTTGGTCCTGGGTTGATTTTGCAATCCATTGCTTCTTACTTTGATTTTCTGTGGAGTCTCATCTTTTCTTCTCGAAGTTTGATTCTGAGGGAACAACCAAGAAAATGAACAGGTAGGTGATGGCGGGGTTTTGCTTTTGCTTGTTTTGTTTTTAAGAAAAAAGAGCAAATTCCTTCTCTCAGGCTTCCCTTTCAGATTTTCCTTTATGAGTACTAATACAGTGTGGAAAAAGTGAAAAACACAGCTTTCTGTATAATTAAACCGTGCTGAACTGGTGCAGATTTTCTTCACAGGAAATCGGGCCTTCATGTAGGTTTGAGAGAAGCTACTTTTTAGTCAGAGATATTCCTGAGATATCCTTTCTCTTCAGAGTACCAGCATGGTGGAGCCCAGCACACATACAAGATCTGTCTGTGTGCCACACAAAGAAGTGTAAATCAGTTCCATGTGTTGACGTGGTCATAGGTGTCCATGGCTGGAAAAGCAATAGACAGCTGCTAATAGGTCCAAAGGCTTCTGTCCCAGGAGAAGATATTTCAACCTCCAGGCTGTTCAATTCCTCAATTACTGCTCTGGCCTCAAAAATTCAATCTCCTTCACCAGCCTAACTTATTTATGGGTTGCACTGAATTGTGACCAGGGAGAGCAGAAAGCCAAAATAAATCAACCACTGATAAAATTGTTTAAGCCTGCTCGTTGTCTGTCTGTCTATTTTTAGATCTCAGTTTAAAAAGGCGGTATGCAGAGAAATGCCTAAGATTTGTTTTGTTTTAGTTGTATCACTAATAATTAGTCTTTGGTGGTGTTTGCTTATAGTAACTGACTTGACCTGATTATAGCCACAGTGTTTTGAACAGCAGAATTACTTAAAACTGAGTAAGAACAGAGGGAGAAATAAGGATTTGTGGAGATAGCTGAGTTGGAAGACATTCTTTGCTGGTTTTGGGTTTGTTTGTGTGTCTCCCCCCTGACACCCTTCTCCCCAACTTAGATTTTTCGTATTGTATTTAGTTTGGTGAAGTCATTCTTGTTTCTTAAACAGCTGTTGCTTCACCTTTAAGAAGTACTTGAATTACATTTTTTTCTTACACACATATACATGGCAATAAAGGTATATACTGAGTAAAGGGGGATATCATCTCTAGCTCTACAAGCAGTGCAGATTTATAGGTGACGTTGTTTCAGTACAGGGAACAGACTCCCTAGTGGGAACAAATATATTATTTATAAGGTGACAATATCGTGCATCCACAAACTATCACTTGGAATCAAAGCAGAGGTCTCTGCATAATTGGAAAAAAAAAATCTTGTTTACAGGCTCCACTCTGCACTAAACTTGCTGATTAAGAGAATTGCTTTGGTAATCAATTTTGACTGAAGAGATTCCTGAGTAGAGAATTTGAGAGATTTCTT